TTGCAAATAGCTTTATGAATCCATAGATTCTTCGAGAAGTTTCCCCTGGAGTCAGAAGATGAACCCTGGGACCATTCAGAAGCACAAAGCACCTAAGAGTTTTGCACTTCAGGCTTGTAGAGCAGATATGAAAAAGCTGCTGTGCCAAGGGAGTCTGGGAAACCCACTCTCAAGGTTTTGCAGGAATTTCTGGGTTCAGCTGGTGCTTTCTGCCAGCCTGCAGTAATCCCTGAACCAGCTCTGACCACGCAGAGCCCCAGCAAAGAGCAGGAGTGAGTGCACAGCTGATTCCTTTTCACCTGCCAACTTACATCCACATCTCAGAAAGTTGATCTCCCACTGTGTACTGCTGCCTCTCTATCCTGCTCCTGTGACAGCAAGGAAGCAGCTTTGAAAGGGCTGAAAACACAAGCTAGACTGTGACTGGGACCTTATTGTTCTTGTACATATGCTTCATCTCAGCCACCGCATTCATTCCAAAACATAGGAAAGCTTGTTAGAGAAAGGTTTGTCATGCACAGGTGTATGATTTCCCCCAGAGTTTACCAATTCATTTCGTATCTATCTGAAGAAGGCAGGAAGAAGGAAGAACAAACTCTAATTTTAATTTTTATACATGTAGTGAATAAAAGAAACATGCTAAAAGGCCAGAACACTTAAAAAATCTCATCTCTATCTGTCGATACCAAAAACTTTTTTTCTTTTTTTACCTATGTAGTATTTTTCTAGCAATCCCTAAATAGAATTAGGAGTGTAAGAAATTATCAAAGAAATCTGGTGATGATTCTGAGGATTATCCTGTGTGTTGAGGATGTCTGAATAACTTGAATAACTCTGGTGCTCATGGACTTCAACCACCCCAAAATCTGTTGGATGGACAACACAACAGGGCATAAGCAGTCCAGGACCTCCTGCATTGATTATAATTTCCTTTTCCAAGTGGCAGAAGAACCAGCAAGGAGAGGTGCTATGCTGGATCTTGTATTCACCAACATGAAGAGACTGGTGGGCAACGTAAACTCCAAGTGCAGCCAAGGCTGCAGTGATGATGAATTGGTGAGGTCCAAAATCCTTAGGATGGCAAGGAGGTTGCACAGCAAGGTCCCCAACCTGGTCTTGAGGAGAGTAGACTTTTTCTTGGTGAAACACTGGAACAGGTTGCATAGAGAAATTGTGGATGCCTCATTCCTAAAAGTGTCTGTGGCCACGCTGGATGGCACTTTGAGCAACCTAGTCTAGTGGAAGGTGTCCCTGCCCATGGCAAGGAGTTTGGAACTAGATGACCTTTAAGGAAGGCCCCTTTCAACACAAAACATTCTTTGATTTTATGATTTTATAATAAGTGCTGATGACAAGGCCTGAGATATCATGCTGGTTGGAGTAGGTTTTAAATTTTCACCCATGACTACAGTAGTTAAAGTCTCCACCATCAGTTTTCTCTGGCTCAGTAACCAGAAAAACAGAACTGGTTAGCCCTTCCCCTAATGAAGAATAAGTATTTCATCCTGCAGGCAACAACCATCCTCTTCTTTCACAATTATTCATTGTGCATGTTCATTGACTTATTAGCAGAAGAGTTATAGTCAAGCAGACTTCCTGAATAAACGCTGGGTTATTTTACCCTTACTACTGCATGATACTTTGGAATTATTTCAAAGAACAGAAATAAGTTGTTCAAAGAGTTTATCACAGAGGCATACATGACTGACAGCCCCTTCCTGTATCATTTCATGCATTTTTGGTTTGAGAACACTTTGATCCCGTGATCCCTTTGGGTTCTCAGTTAAGGACATGACATTGGTATATCTTTGCTGACACTTATTTGCCCATCTCTTGTGCCTTCTTCATTTTCTTGGCAGTTTGAAAGGTTCTTCAGACATGAAGCAAGGAAACACTCCTTCCTTTCCTTGTGATCAAATTATCATTCCCGTTCTACCTTCAGACTTGCTGTCTCTTTCCTACTTCATATCACATCAATGAATCAGAATCTGGCTTTCTAGTAAAAGCTGCCATTGTGTCCACAAAAGAACAACCTCTCCATGTACCTCAGCATCCCCTTCTTACTTTTCTTTCATTTCCAACCCTGTGTGTGAGCTATCCCAAGCATATTTCTTTTACTAAAATTAATTGCCATTACAATGTCTTTATCTTCTGGCAGGTATGAGGCATTGCTCAGGGTGAATTTCACCCAAATTCAATGCTTTGCTTTGCATGTAGCAATGATTATAGAAGAAAAGTAAGCACTGTCTTGTCTTTCCTACCGAGACCAAAGCAGAGATTTGCTGTATTTCAGATGCAAAACAAGCCTTTTTTGTTCAGGCTGCTGCTGTTGATACTTGGAGCTGTACCAGTTGCACTGTTTTTAATTTGGAGAATAGCAAGCATAGGGGATTATTGGATGCAGCCACATGGTCTACATTTTCCCTCTGACACCTTTTCCTGTGTGACCCTAGTCCCTTCCCAAGAGCCAGGCTAAGATGCTTCCATTTGATAACACAGAAAAAACCTTCCAATTTTAGTAGCCTTCATATTTCTCTTATGTGAAATAAAGACCATACCTTGAATTTGATACAAGAGCACTTAGATCATTAAAGAACCTGGCAACATACCCCAAGGGTACAGAGGCTCCTATATGGGGAAATTTTTATGTAAACATTTCATTCTGATAGTGAAGAGTTAAAAGTAGTCCTTTAATATGTACTTTCCACAATCATCAGATAATGCCCAGCCTTCTCTCATATTTTTTTTCAAACACTTCTTGTCATCTATATGTGTGCATTGCCATGCAACATTATGTTGCATAACCACTAGACAGATTACCTGATTTTGCAAACTGAAATTCACTGTAAGCTAACATGTATCTGATAAATTAAATCTGTAATAAAGCCATGTCCATTGCAGATCACCTTGGCTTTTAAATGCTGAAGAGTGGGAACTTCTTCACAAATGCTTTGATTTTTTTTTCATTGTTTCCTTGTGGCAAAACACTCAGAATAGCTGCTTTCATGCATCAAATGTTTTATAGCATTGGGACAATCTAGCCTCCCCTTTATTATTTTAATCATATTTCTGCTTTGAATTTTTGGCTGTGTTTTATTCTCTGAGATTCTAGTAGGTTCTTATGATGAGAGGTCAAACTAAAAAAAAAACAGCCCTGCTGGTTCTGTCAACTAAATTCAAACATTACTGTGAAGCTTTATAACAATAATACCTTCCGTGCTACTATATTCTGTAAGCAATTCAAGCGGAATCCCTCTTCTGTGTGGTTTATTATAACTCAACCATAGAAATGTGCTTTGGGCTGAAAGTGGATTTATAAGATTTCTGCCCAGAAGCATACGCTTTGTAAAATTTAATTTAAATCAGCTTAGCTAGTTTTTTTTCTTTAAATACTGAAGAACATAAAAACAAAAATAGATTGATATTTTTTCCTTAGCAAAAAAAAACCCCTCAGTTTTCTTTCAATAACAGGTAGTCATTTTTCTTGCCCTTCATGAATATACATAATTCCATCATCTTTGGGGAATGCATGTGGAGGAGCATGAAAGAAAAAGTCATTTTCCTTTTTTTAAAACAAAATATAGAGGCTGTCTGTGTCTCTATATTTCCTGTGTACTAGGATTTTCTGTGGGTACAGGGAAGAATATAAAAAGTAATATTTTTATTGGAAAGAAAAAAAAAGAGGCTACTGCACTTAACTACTTTTCACAACAGTCAAAACAGGGTTTTATGAAACAGCAATAGGAAAAAAATCTCATTCAGTGCAGTATAACTTAGCTTACATACCCACTATACTAGAGATTTGTGGACCCAACTTTTTTTTCTGCTCTGACAGGCATATGCTGAATTTGAGGTGTTTTTATCTGTTTGTTTACTTGCTTTCACAGTTCCTCTGGTGATATTTGAACTCCCGCTGGAAGTATTGCTTATGAAGATCTGCAGCCCTGGGTACATTTCACTTCAGATTCTGGTTACATGAAGAGCACCTTGATAACCTGCCAGAGGTCATGTGGGCACTGAGCAGATCAGATTGAACAGAGCAGCTCATCAGACACGGCTGTGCCATTTCATCTGGGTCTGCAGACCAGCTGCTCAGCAACTAACAAAGAGTTTGAAAATGTTACAGTGACTCTGCTCATGGAAACTAGGGGAAAAACCTGTCTCATCCATGTAGATGGTCTAATTCAGGGGCCTCTTCAGTACACCTTCCCTTCCCTTCCCTTCCCTTCCCCTAATCCAAACACAGAAAGTTGTCTACAATGAAAGTATCACTTAAAGAAAATGACTGAAATCCTGTGTTGGGGAGACATTCTTACCTTCACCTTTTTTAGTACTTTAGCCCTTGATCAGCTATTAAGTTCTGTTTTATCGGGCCAGGGTTTTGTGAGCCCTTAAAAGGGAACTTAATACACCTAAGGATAGCTTAGCTATTACCTTTGGAGGCAAATAATGAGCAGGATGGCTTCTGCTGCAGTGTTAGAAACAAAAAGGTTTAATAAAAGGAAAAACGATAAACAGAAAACCCGATTCAGGTACAGTGGTTTGCCCCTGGTAGAAGCACCTTCACAAAAGCCTCGTGGTTTCTTTGTCCTCTCCTTTTCTACCTTATGGCCCAGGCGGGACCTTTTGGCTTCCATCCAATTAGGTGACCCCAAGGTTTTAGTGAAGTCTCTCCAAACACAGAAAGTTGTCTACAATGAAAGTATCACTTAAAGAAAATGACTGAAATCCTGTGTTGGGGAGACATTCTTACCTTCACCTTTTTTAGTACTTTAGCCCTTGATCAGCAACTTCCAGGAAAAAGAAGATGAGTTATAATAAATCAGCTAAATAGCAGTATAGAAAGAAAATAGGTTGCATTTAAAAGCAACTTGGGAGTGAGGATAATAAAGAAATTATGTCAAAAGAGTCTAATGAGTTTCATGAATACCAAGATAAGAATATCTCAAAAATATATTTCAATATGTAAAAGTTATTTTAATATGTAATACGTTGTTACACTCATCAACATGTATGTATATATTTACAAATACTCAGACATACACATACATATACATATATATGAATAGTGTTGATGCTAGTTTAATCTTAAATTTATCTCAGATTTTAATACACCCAGTTGTTCAAGATGTTAAAGTATACCACGTGAAGCTGACACACATCCCAGGATAGGAAGGAAGTAACCTGAAGGCATCTGGTTTCCTAGAGTATGCTCACAGGCTGTTTTTGATGCAAGAGGCAGTGCAACAATTCATTGGCAAGCTAGAAACAGCAAGCCAAAGTGACTTGGTCTGTGAGCAGTCAGTGAACTGAAGACAATGCTGCATGTCAGAGATCCTGCAGCTCTGCCATGTCAGATCATGGAGCTGGATCCAAACATCCATCTTCAGTTTATATAGTGGATTTTTTTCATAGCAGAAGAATATGCAAGTTCATTCACAACTTGATTTATATCAGATTGATCAAAAGCTAACATGCATTTCTGCCATGTGTTCCAGACTGCTTCCTAAGGGATAGTCTTTCAGTCTATTCACATAGCCAACCTCTTAGTTTCTGAGTTCTCACATCTCAGTAGTTTTCACATCCCACATTAGAATCCTGCCATGGACAGGTATTTCTTGTTCCACTCATTTCTATTCATACAGCTTGCTGTTCTACAGCCTGTGTTCATCTGAAATACATTTCACCATCCTTTTCCTCTAACATAGAAATAGAGACATGTTCTTTTATCTTTGTAGCATTTCACAGACGATCACACCTCTTCTCAGACTCTTCTCAGCACTATCAAGTGATAGGAAAACATAATGAAATACAAGAAAATTCATTCAAACATTAGAAAAAAATTTCTTATTCTGTGTCTGAACTGGTTGTCTCTGGTGGAGGCAACCTGTGGAGACATTCCCGGAGATGTTCAAAACCCACCCGGACATCACCCTGAGAAAACTACTCTCACTGACTCTGCTTGAACAGGGTTTTAGACTAGATGACCTCAAGAGGACACTTCCCATCCCAGTGTTTGTGTGATACAGTTGTCTTGAGGACCATGTCTCATTAATTACTCACTTGATGACTCTTCTATTCAAAAACTGTATATAGCAGGTTATGACACCTAGGAGTTATGTTTCCAAACTTGTTCCCACATCTTGGAAATCACCCCACAAACTTGTGCAAATCTTCCCTCTTCAGGATTCTCCTGAAAACCCTTTCTTGCAAACTATATAGCCTATAAAAGGAAGTTGCTGTGTCTACTTGTTTGTTCAACTGTACTTCCATGTCTGCTCCTCCCTTTATAATTCAGGCTGTAAAAGGCCTGTGACAGAAACTATGCCTGGGTTTTTAATGCACCTACCACTACTGTTTATTGTACATAAGTAGGACTGCTGAACACTCGTTAAAAACAACAAAAAAAAAGGGTAACCCCAGAATGATCACAGTATGTTCCAGATTGGGTCAAAACTAAAGCAAAGGTCTTAACTACTATTTTCAGTGTTAAGGGATTATTTTGCTTTTACAAACACACAGAAACTGTAAAGCATCTGGAATGCAAAGGATTTCTTTGTTTTCTTTGTTTCATTTAAGTTTTACCAGTTCTATGGAATTTAGTCTGAACTTTATTGGTTACTACGGTGACTAAGTGTAATAAATGAAGTGACAAGGATGCCTCAGACTTCATTTAGTGGGGAATAAGGAGCAGCTAGAAGCAGAAACCTCTACTTTTCCCAGACAGGTCATTCAGTCAGCCACTTGCATAGCTGTTAATACCCAGCTGGATTTTGAATCCTTGGCCTCCTGTACAAATAGGTCTGCTTCCCCCTTATTTAATGGGGAGTGCTGAGTGCAATGAGGCAGGCAGTCTCAATAAAGTTCTGAAGCTGTTTCCATCAAGTAGAGTGACACTAGGTCCTAGACAGAAATATTTCTTCCAGCTTACCCTATGCACTACAGCCTGAGCCTAATGCCTGAGCAGAAGTTGTTTTCCATGTGTTTCTACCTCTCACTGGCAGCAGAGATGATACTGTGTTGATTGTAACTAGAAATACACATCCTGCTGTCCTGTTTCTTTGATTCAACAGAGGTAGGAGGGAAGACCTTAAGCAGGACTGCAGTTGTGGGTGGCCAATTACCTAGCAGGATGTCTGGGAAAGATCTTTTTGCTGTTTGTACTTCCTTACCAACTGTGCAGAAAGCAATTAATACTTTGCCCCTCTTCTTTCATTTTTGATATCTGAATAAACAGCAAAAGGAATGCTGCAAGCAACAGAAGAAATCCAGACTGACTCTTTATGATGAGAGTGGTCAACTCTGTCCTGAGGCAATAAAATCAGCAATGCTTGTCATTGTCATATACTGATTTCATAGAGACAAAGTAGCTGAAAAACAATAATGTAGCAGCTTTTAAAGATCAAAATTAGTAGCTTGATTGGAACAATAAAACGTTCTCTTAAGATTTCAGGATATGTGCAGAAGATATTTCTTGCTTTTGGCTAAATCTTGGAGTGACATAATACCTGTGGGTGTCATGTAATATGTTTTGTTATGTTTCATGCAATCAGCTTAAATGTAAATACACATGTGTGTAAAATTCAATGTGTGTGTGGCAGTCTGACCCACATGTCACCAGAATTAACTTTCCTGCCTATGTTTGTCTCTTTTCTATATTCCATACCCAAAATCTACACTACATTGTGGAACACTACACTGCTTAAGGAACACAACATGGACTCAATCCTGCTGCATGGACAACAAATAAAAGCCAAACCAACCACTTTCCTACTGCATTACACCCATATTCCTCAGAAACACCTCCCTGACCAAAAGATAGAAATGCTCATTTCCTCCTGCCAACACAATTTTTTGTGGGAGTGGAGAGTTGCAACCTGGACAGATCAAAGATGGAGAAGTATGGCATAGGTAGAGTAAGTTCTAAGATTTGCGTACAGAGCACAAGTCATAGAGTTAGAAATATAATGTATGGCTTGCAAAATATGTAATTAGTGCTTAGAGATGTCATTTGAAAAACAAAACAGCTCAAGCTCCCTGTCAGCTTGGGTGACATAACCCAAGGCAGAGTTACAGGCAATAAAAAGCTCATCTGAATATATCTTGTGGCAGTGCCTTCCTCTAAGAAACAGAATCGTGTGGCACTGGTTTTATCTGCATTTCATGAATGGCCCAGATGTTGTCCTGGTAAGCCTTTGACTCTACTGGTTTACTATCCTGTTAAACTGGTATCTGGCATTTCAGCTGGGAAGAAGTAGCACCATCTTTGCTTTTGAGAATTCAGTGTCCCCCTTGAGATGAGAAAGATAGGTGACTGTGTCACACTCTTACTCTCTTCCAGAGTGCAGTCCAGCTAGTGATCTCAAATCACACACTGCTTTAAAACAATATTTAAAGTCCATGTATATTTAGCCATGGATCAGAGTATGTGATTTTATTTTATGTGTAAAGGAGTTGGGAAGACACCTCTCCCATCTGGCTTGGGAGAGCTCCCAAGGAACCTTTGAATGGTTTGTCTTTTTCTTTAAGGCCCCAAATAACTGTCCAACTTTCTAACACGCACACCTTGGGGATAAGCAATTATTCATGATACAACAAGAAAAATACAAAAAGTATGTCACTATAAATTCTTAAACCAGCTGTTTCACTTTCTAATCTTTAAGCATTTTCTTTGTTTGATCTGTCATAAATATTTCTCTTTGCTCTTTAAAAAGCATTGGCTTATTGATGTTTGGGGAAAGATGATTTATTGCGGTACTGGAAGAAAATTAATTCACTTTTAAATGTGAGCTAAGTTTTGCAAAAGAGAATGAGTGCTTCAATGCAAAATCGAAATGCCAGAGTCCCAGTACTGGTTGCACAACTCTGAAGGACAAAAGTTAATGGTACAAACAGAACAACATCATTGTTAAGATTTACTCACTGGAGACTTACGTTCCTTATCACCAAGACCATTATTTTTATTTACATCTAAAGAGGAAATAAAAGTTATGCTGGGCACCTATCTTTTTTCACAGGTCTAGGGAAAGCTGGAGATTATCAATTATGTGAATAGCTATATAATCTCCCCTGATTTCTAAAAAACTCAGCTACCATTCAACATTAGCTCACAGTGGATCGAACATCTTCCTGCACTTTTCCTTATGTTGATCTGTAATCTTTGTGCAACTTTTTACAGGGCCAGGAAGAAAGAGAGAAAAAGAGGATGTTTAAAATTCATTGAAATTATGCTTTGACTTGATTAAACACATATCAGTGTCAACCAGAAAGCCTGTGATAAGTTACCTAGCAGTGATAAAAAAGTACCATGGGAGAAAAAGTATGTTTAAAACAAAAATAATTGAATGCCATTTTCTGATCTACACATCAGGATTCCTTTTTAAAATGCCACTTTTTAATCATACCTACACTAACTATTATTTATGTCACAACTAACCAGAGAACTGGGCAGAAAGATCTTGCATTTCCTAGGTCTGGTCCTGTCCTGCCAGATCTTTGCCACACCAGTCTGTCTGAGACCCTGAGGTTTTGTTCATGTTCAGCTCCCTCAGCTGCAGGCAGCCCCAGAGGTCACAGCATCCTCTCCAGAGCTACTGGAGCAGTGTCCTCTCCTAGCTCTCTGCTGACCCTGACAGACAGCTTGATGTCAGCAGCCCTGGATCTGCCAGGTGTTCTCTCCCACCTGAAGATGATCTTTCCCAACCCTTCCCATTTGTTTAAGCCAGAGCTGAAGAGTGTCGCTGGGTTCCTAGCCTGCCCTGTGTACCCAGGTTTTGTTGTGGCCCATTTTAAAATGCTTTGTAGGCACTGCAGCTGCCCCTTGAGCATTCACTGCCCTGCTTCAGTGCTGCCTGCATTGCTTCCTCCCTCCCCTGCCTCCCAGCACTAGATGCTTCACCCAGTTCATTAATAACAGGGGTTCTCAACTATTAATTATGGCACCCAGAACAGAAACGTATATTTAAAGGACCTGTGATTTCTGCTATAAAAAATGCTTTTTTTCTTGAGGAAAAAATGAAATTGAGGTTCTGACACTGTTATAATTACATAAAATACATACAAATATTTACTTTTAGGTCTCTAAAGACATACATTGAGGCCAGTAAGAAACACATCACACTGTGATCAAGGGTGATACAATTCCCTTAAAGTCAGTTCTTGGAGTAAATGTTCCTACTCTCAAAGCCCAGTGGGCTGCACAGAAGAATAAACTCTCTCACACAATTTACAATATGCTATCCTACAATCCAGGTTTCTCTGCTGTCCTTTGGCAGCCCATTAATACCCAAGAAAAGATTTCCTCTTTACTTTTTCTGAAGAAATGCCTGTTCTGCTGTGACTGCCAGAGCTCCTCAGCCTCTGAAGGCTAGGAAGAGAGAAAGCAATGTGGGTTATACATGACCTTTCATTGAAAAAAAAGAATAAATAGCATCAAGTGGCAAAATTCTTTGCTTCCTCTGTGTTTTGGCAATATGCAAGAAGTGGGCAAGTTGATCTGCAGCAGTATTTCAGCTAGGACTTTATTCACATTTGGAGCCAACAGATAAGCTTACATATTAACTCTCCTGATTTACGTTAACACTTAGCCATGGTGACAAGTACTCTTTGCACTCAGTGCATACTGACTTTGTCTTTCTGCTTGCAAGGAATTCAAGTAGACATTAGTGACGTTAATGAGAAAGAGTAAGAGTGTGTATGTAAGCAAAGCTTGAGATATTGGCAGGTACCAAGTCTGCAAAGGCAGCAAGCAGAAAATACTGATTAACACAACATGGTTTTGCATGTTCTTTTCATCAAAATATTTGTTCTTGTTTTGCATTTATTCTTTAAAATATTGATAAGGTTGTTTGGTTTAGGTGGTTTTGGTTTGTTTGTTTGTTTGTTTGTTTTGCAGAAGGAATTATAGTTTTTATTCATTCTGTTACAAATATTGGAATTTTTTAAACTTGTTTTGTTCCAGCACAGAGGTTATAAAATTCAAGTCCAGAAGCTACTGTTAAATAGTAGAAGTCTCATAATTTGGATACAACTGTGAATCTAGAGATCCACAGAAAATATTTTCTCTGAAGCAGAAAAGATACAGTTGTCATTTCTGCTCAGAAGCACAGAAAATCAGTTTGTCTTTGAATTGCACAGGATTTTGTTATTGAAAACAGAAACACCTACCTGTTTAGCCATGTCAATCAAAGCAACAGCTGCAATTCCTTTGCCTGTTTGCTACTGCAAAACACCAGCATGTGTACAAGTTCTTCACCAACCACAGCTGTGCACAACATATCTCCTAAGTGAAAGCAGAATCCACCATTTCATATCTATGGCATGAGTTTCTACCAGGACAATTAGTGCCAAGTAGCCACAGTGCTATCAGCCCACACCCAAACTGAGACCTACTTTGGCTGTATCAGTGACCAACATCAAAAACAGAGCACAAATATCATGATCTGTTCTTCAAGAGGTCAGGACTGGGCTGTGGCAAAATAAGGACATAATAGCTCTGAGTTGTCAGGCAACAGAGGGTATAGAGGGAGGAAGGCAACAGGAGGGAGAAAAAAACCTGCAGGAAATTCCAAGACTGGTGGTTCTGAAGGACATGTGGAGAAGAAGGCAGAAACTTTCAGCCTTGCATTTATTTAAAAAAGAAAGTGGAAACCCCTGCTGTTGCACTGTCACACTGACCTCACTTCACGTATTAACTCTGTCTTTAGATGAAAGGTCAAAATTTAGGTGAGGAGATGACACTTATCAAACTGTCTTGTCATGGGTCACTTAGGAGGCAGCCACTGATCCATTTTCCTGAACCAGGGGATAAAATCCATGACTCCTAAAGTGTTTCTGATTAACATTTTTTGCAGAGCTGGCCTTGGCTGTGTAGCAGGTAGTTTGTAGTTTACTCTAATGAGCACACTGCTGCTAGAGCTAACATTGACATAGCTGCAGGTGGATGCTGGTGACGTTAATAGAGATGGATAGGAGGGGAAATGAAAGCCAAACCTAAGATAGCAGCAGAGATTAGACAGGCATAGGAAGGTAGCAAACAGAAAATATTGATTGCTGCTTAGTATAGGACTGTACTCCCAAGCAAGAGCACTCAGCTGACTCAGGAGGCTGTATTTTTCCTCTCACAATTTCACTAAGTCATTTCAGCAATTTTACCCTGTTGCCTTCTTCCTCTCTGGCAAGTAAGAACAACTGGCTTCTTCATAATACACTTTTCCCAAGCCAGATAAGTGTTCATGGCCCTTCAATCTTTTGTTGGTTTAGTTTCTCCCAGTTTTGTCTTATTGTGGTTTTATATATCAAAGAGGACTTTGCTGAAGTCCTCTGAGCTCCATGACAGTCATTCAGTTTACAAGGGAAATGTCTGTGCTACTGTCAGTAATCTTACTCAGCGTGGGAAAACATATATCCTGATGTTTGTGTGCTAACAGCACATTGGTAGCTCAAAACCTTCTTCATATAGTTAGTATAGGATGGATCAACTGGACAACACGCAGCTCTTGCTGGGAAAACATATATCCTGATGTTTGTGTGCTAACAGCACATTGGTAGCTCAAAAAAACACATGCCCTAAATTCCCTGACAGCTCCTCTCCCCCAACAGCAATGCCCATATTTCCCAAGCCTATGGAGCACTCTCCCTTTGGAGTCGATGAGGGAGAAGGGACAAAGACTTTACAGGATTTCTGACAACCCACAAAGCACAGCTGGCAAGGGGATATGATTCAGGGGATAAGTGATATAACAAGAAAGCAGGTGGGAATCATGACCAGTCAGTAACAAATACCAACTGTCCAAGAAACTAGCAACATACCAAAAAGGATGCTTTATGCTCAACCTCCTTTGCCTCAGCAATGTTGCCATTAAAGCAGAACTTTAGAACATCAGAGCAGAAAAAAGTAGGAAAGTAATTTCTAATTTATCAGACGGGAAGCACAGTGACTTCTGCAGCTGATCTAAGAGTTTACAGCTTAGAACCCCTTTTTGGGGTCTGCTCTTCCAAATACCAGAATAAATGCAGAGGCCTTATTGTATTCTTCATATATAGTACATTGGGCTCATAGCTACGACATATGGCAAAGAAGGTTGCTGTTTACCTTTTGACTCCCTGGAGTAATTTATTGCATATATTTTTAGCTCTTTTTTCAAGGAACCTCATCCTAGAAGAATATACATGCAAATCTCTAATGTATAAGCATTTTATTTATATTACAAAGACAACATCTTTTCACTAAAATACTATCACAGACTATCACAGATGAGAACGTCTGCTGTTAGCAGTCCAGGTCATGCTGCCCTCAGACAGCTGCAACATTACAAAGACAACATCTTTTCACTAAAAGACTATCACAGCTGAGAACGTCTGCTGTTAGCAGTCCAGGTCATGCTGCCCTCAGACAGCTGCAAAGGCAGGAGCAGCAACAGGCTTGGACTTGTGGAGAAAAACCACAAGGCTGCATCCTAGCAGTTAGTACAAATCACTGAGTGTGCGTGCTCTGTGTCTGTGTGCTCCTGACAGCAACACGGGGACTCTCAGGCTGTGACTGCACTAGACCGTCCTGAAACACAACCTAATCCTTTCTTGACGAAAATAGGTTGGAGTAACAAAGGTGTGCAAGAGACAATATTTATATTTAAACAACAAAACTGTCTAAGTCAATGCTGCAGACATCATAAAGGCTTCAGGAAAGCTAAAATTAAGGCAGGGCTTCACCAGGGCCAGAGAACAGCACCAATTTCCCACAGCAACAACAGTCTAGATCAGTCTCAAATTCACTTCAAATTTCTTGGCCTCTGCTTAAGCCTCTCATTTATTAAAATATCAGATAAGGACTGTTAAGGTTAATTTCCTCATATTTTTTTGAAGAAAATTTAAAATTCTTTCATGTAAGTTTGCACCCAGAAAAGAATTGTATTTTTCCATCATCTGAGCTAGAAAACGAAGGGAGATGAGGTATGGCAAAGCAAAAAGAGGCTGGAATTCTCAATAAGAGGATGAAGAAAAATAATAATGAGCAAACAGCATTGGGCACAGGCCTATTTAATACGTTAATCAATGATTTGGACAAGGGGATTGAGGGCACCCTCAGTAAATTAGAAGACAATACTAGGTTCTTCAGGAGTGTTGATCTGCCGGAGGGCAGGAAGGCTGCGCAGAGGGACCTGGACAGGCTGGATCCACGGGCCAAGGCCTAGTGCCAGGTCCTGCACTTGGATCACAACAACCCAGTGCAGCACTACAGGCTGTGGGAAGAGTGGCTGGAAAGCTGCCCCTTGGAAAAGGACCTGGGAGTGCTGGTCAGCAGCAGCTGAACACGAGCCAGCGTGTGCCCAGGTGGCCAATGTCATCTTGGCCTGGATCAGCAATAGTGCTGCCAGCAGCACCAGGGCAGAGATTGTCCCCCTGTACTCCACACTGGTGAGGCCACACCTCAAATCCTGCATCCAGCTGGGGCCCTCACAACAGGAATGACAGTGGGATGCTGGGGTGAGTCCAGAGAAAAGCAATGGAGCTGGTGAAGGGTCAAGAGAATACATCATATGAGGAGCAGCTGAGGGAGCTGGGGGGTGTTTAGCCTGGGAAAAAGGAGGCTCCCAGGGATCTGAATAATCTCTACAACTGCCTGAAAGGAGGTAGTAGCCAGGTTGGGTGGGCATCTTCTGCCAGGCAACCAGTGACAAGACAAGGAAACTGCTTTAAGCTCTTCCAGGGGAGTTTCAGTCTGGACATCAGGAAGAGCTTTTTCACTGAAAGGGTAGTTAAGCATGGGAACAAGCTGTCCAGAGAGGCACTGGAGTCATCACCCCTGGAAGTGTTCAAGAAATGGGTGGACATGGCACTTATTGCTATGCTTTATTTGGCATGGTGGTGTTTGGTCAAAGGCTGGACCCAGTGACCTTGAAGGTCTTTTCCAACCTTAACAATTCTATGATTCTATCAAAACAAACAAAAAACAAAAGTGAATGGTTGGAAGAAGGAAGAAACCTAGAGAAAGAATGCACTGTGCTGCAACTGAGGGCAAAGAGTACCTTGCTTTCCTGCATTAGAAAGCCAAGTCAACATGAACTCCAGTGTCATGAAGTCAGCATCTATGTCCTCACATCAAAATATGGAAAACACGAGGTTAAGAGCAAGCAGGCGTGCATGACTGCATAGAGAAGAAGGATCTGGACTGAAGAGCAATTCATAAGAGAAACAAAAAGCCCTCTTGAACTGTTTTCTCTCTGCCTTTGATATCAAGGACCCTTATCCTGCAGTCAGCTGCAGCACTTGGGTACCTGTGGCCAGCCATGGACTAAACTTTCCAACATGGGGGGACTAAAGTATATTTACAAAATGTGTGAATGAAAGTAAATTTCAAAGTAAATTATTTTTTTTTACAATTCCCCTCCTATGTCCATGTTACCATCAGCAGTCAAGCCAAAGCCTTTTTTTATTTCTTGCTATTTGTAACTGTGTAGTAGAAATATCTCAGAGACTCGAGCAATACTATCTCAGATTGTTCAGACCTCAGTATTGTGCCTTAAGGAGAGGGATAAAAGGTTTTTTACTCCTTTTTAATACCTGACACTGAGCACACACTCCCATATCAAAAGGACTTTATTCTTCCCCCTCCCCCGCACCAGCAGAAAAAAAAAATTAAGTCTACAATATACTGAGCAGGAGATGGCAAACATCTTTATCCCTACAGAGGTACAGAGAACCTGGACCAGGAGATCCTCTGAACATTAGAGGAGGAAAACTAACCTTCGAAGATGCTTTGAAAAACACAATGTGAAGCTGATAGGCCCTGGTTTCCAATACCAAAAGAAACAAACAGAGTGAAACTTCACTACAAAAATAAATACTTGGATCTCCATTGTACCTCTGAATGTTACATTAAGCATCAGTTCTTTTCAGTTGAGAGACAGCATTTTTTTTTAGATTTCTCAAAGGATTTGGATGCTCTATTGTGGCCAGACTGTGATCTGGCTTCACTTCCCACAAATCAGTATCAAATGCAGAGAAGCAACCTGCTACACAGGCATTTTGCAGACAAAAATAGTGCAGAGCCTAATCAGAAATCTTGTGGCAGGAAACAGGCCTTCCTACAACAGGAAGCATAGGAAAGACTACTGGAGACAGCCGTCCAAAAGCAGCTGCCTTGCCAAAAAAGACAAAATGGCTGTATACTGGCAACCCTTGCAGCAGGAAATCACTGAATTAAGTACTCAATCTACTGAGCAATTTAGTGTGTCATCTGCTTCCTGGCAACAGATATTTGGAATCACTTTTACATTGCATTTCAGCTGTATCTCATAACTGGGTTGAGTACAGTGTCCTCTGCAGTAACCAAAGAGGTCAAGGTCAGAGGCTTTTCTGACTCCTACCCAAAATAAATATTTTTAACCCTTTTCCTTTCTTCATTTTCATCATTTTATCATTTCTAATTTAGGGGACTCACATTCCTGTTTCTAGTCTGATTTGGGGCCAGGGCAGACTGAGTCACTGATACAAGTCTGGCAAAGTTAACTGTGGTCTCCATGGGACAGTACAACAGTCTGATAGGAGATAAATATCAGGGCACAGTGAAACAGGGAAAAGAAGACCAGTGGATTCTCCCTGTGATTTTTTTGATGGAGTGTCAGGAAACTTTTCAGGAAGTTTCTTTTCAACATATGCGAAAAGATAAAGAGAGAGAGAATGAGACAGAGAGGAAGACAGGGAGTTAGGGGAAAAGGAAAGGAAAGGAAAGGAAAGGAAAGGAAAGGAAAGGAAAGGAAAGGAAATATTCTTTAGACTTGATATCCATGTATTAATGCAGACAGTTGATAAATTTAGTTATGTTTTCAATCCTTACCTAATATATGCTTTCACATCTCACTGAAGACGCGAAATGCAGTTTCTGTTTCTTCATCGTTTCCTTAACACAGAATGGCTGAGGTTGGAAAGGACCTCTGGATGTCATCTGGTCCAAACCCGCTGCTCAAGCAGTCTTCTAGAGTCAGTTACATCATGTCCAAATGGCTTTTTAATGTCTTCAAGGATGGAGCCTTTACAATCTCTCTGGCCAATACGTGCCAGTGCTCAGTCATCTTCAGAATAGAAAAATGTTTTCTGATGTTCAGATGGCATCTCCATTATTTGAGTTTCTGCCCATTTCTTCTTGTTCTGTCATTGGTCACCACTGAAAAAAGCCTGGCTCCATCCTCTTTATATCCTCCTTCAGATATTAATATATATTGAGCTATATTATACTAGGGACCCATTGAACTTGCTCTTCTCTAGGTTGAACAGTTCCAAATCTCCTAGACTTTCCTCACAGGAGAGATGCTCTCATTCCTCAGTTATCTTTGTAGCCCTTCACTGGACTCTCTCAGGTGCGTCAATGTCTTTTCTGTACTGGGCACCCCAGAACTGGATCCAGCAGTCCAAGTAGGGATCCACCAGTGGTGATCATCTCCCTCACCAAGCTGGCAACACTCCTCCTAATGCAGCTCAGGATACCACTGGCTTTCTTTGCAGCAAGACATGTCTAACACAATCCTTGTGGTTTTGTCTTTGGCTTTTGAAAACAGACAAGAGACTGTGGATAAAAACTTCTGCACATGAAAGAAGCCAGACAACAGATAATCACAATGACAGAGTTCACTTTTCTGCTGTCTCATAGTGACACGTGCGTGCCAGATTTAAAAAGAAATCATGTCATTGTGGCCAAAGGAGAGAGAATGTTGCAGCCAATTAGTTGTGAATTTTTTTAGCACAGTTATGTAAAGTAACTGAGTTTGCATAAAGTGACTGATGTCGGTTAGATTTGCTGCAGTCAGTGATGTCCATCTACTGCTGTGGTCACTACAGAAAATCTCCCACTTCAGGAGACTGGCAAGTTGTGAAGAGACTAACAGCAATAATAATCACCTCAGTTCAGCTTCAACTTTTCTGAGGAAAAAATCCATCTGGTTTTCTATTCTATCCTAATAGTTTCAACATACATCATAAGACCAGGTTTTTATGTCTGAGGAGACTGGCTAACAACATTATATTTACAGCAACCAATGGAAAATATTTTCTGGAGAAAAGCTCGCTCTTTCAAAAGGACACGTGCCAAGTTTATAATATACATGAGCCAGGAGGATCATGAACACTTCACACTTTGCTACAAAAAAGGTCAAGCAAATTTTGAACTATAATTTTTTAATTCAGAGAATAAAGTTTTAACCAAAACTTAAAGAACAGTGTTACAGTTTCTAAATTATGTGTTTGCTTCTTTCATTTTGTTTTCTTGGTTCTTTTCTGTCATATTCTTTGGTTTATTATTTGTCATGTTTTTAAAAGCTTCCTGTGACATAAACAACCTCCTATGGCTATGAGCATTAATCACTTGGCCAAGGTTCAGTGTCAGAATAAGAAACTGCACTTAAGTTAATGTTTTTGCAGTTAAGAGTTTTTTGACAATTAAACATTACCAGACAATTCTGCAGAAAGAGCTGATGTGTGACAGGACTTGATGAATTTCTGTGTGCAGGTTGCTGCTCTATTTCACTCCATACAGCTGGGCTCCACTAGGTAAAATATGGGAGAGGATCAGGATGAAAGCTGAAGGATTTAAGGATGGAGTAAACACTTCTGAAGTCTAGGCCTTATGTCAGGATAAAATTTATTCATTTGTTGCCATTTCCATTGTTTCTGTTCTCTCATATTCTTCTGCTTTGCCTCAGAAATAGGAAGACGTGCAGTTTAGTGAGATGGTTTTCCTGTGTTAATTTGAAGGGATGAAGCATGTGACTTTTCTTTCACCCTGCACTGAAAGAACAAAAGAGTCTGTCTGTTGTCTTGTCTCCTCAAGACCCCATCCCTGGGCTTGGAGACATTTAAGTTCTCAGTGTTCCTTCCAGCTACTTGCTACATGTCTAGAAGTTAAATTCTCCAAATATATATAAATCAAAGCAAGACCAAGACTACCTGTGTCTAAACAGTCCTCTGGCTCCCTGAATTGTAGTAATAGGGCAAAAACTGAACAGACAAGACTTTTTAAAGCACAAGGATCTTGTCCTTGTCCTAAACTCCCTGCCAGTAGCTGAGATCGCTGATCCATCTGAACAGCACATAAATTTAGGGGGTTTGTTCAGCCTCGATATACCCAAGACAGCATATGTTCAGTGAACTCTCTAAACAGACACAGAAGGGCAGCTCTGCCTGAAGAAATTCCATTTTGCATAGACCAGTTGAATAGTTGTTAGACCATAAAGAGAGAGAAAACAAACTTAGGAGCTGGGACAGCCTCTGGCAGTGAATACAAGGTAAAATGTGAGTTCACAGTAGACAGAGGAAAGAAAGAGAGGCCAGTCCCTACTGGCATTAACATATCTGCATTAACAGATATGCACCAGGCTCTGACCACTGATACAAATGTACCAATGCTGCCACCTCTGCCTAGCTCCTCTCCTACACATTTAAATGAGGCCCTGACACCAGAAAACCTCCAGTCAGAATTGAAGACTCCTCTGTGGCCCAGAATAAAACTTGTTTCTCTTTCCCTAAGCAGGGAGCCTTGGCCAGCTTGGCACCTGGAATCTCACCTGAGATGCCCTGATCTGGTGCTGAAAACATCCTTTTGAACATCTTCTCTCGGCAGCTGATTGTAAAAACAGGCCATGCTACAAGCACCATAACATTTCACAATGTAGGCTGGTGTTTATTTCCTGCAAGATGCCCTGTTGATACTAGCTCAGTTTTGGTCTTTCCTGGCATAAGGGAGATTTTCAGTGGAGTAAAGGAGTGAAGGAAAAGGAGGGAAACTAAAAGAAGAAGGCAAAACAAAGAAAAAGGGAAACCTGGATTGAGAGGGGAAAGAGAAAGGCCTTTGGAAGAGGGTAATGTAGATAAGGTGTGTAAAGTCTGGTGTTCCACTGTGTTGCTCTAGTTCTGCCAAGACACAGGTAGAAGATGAGAAGACATAAAAATATGGCAAGTGTTCCTGGAAGGACTGACTTCTATCTGGCACCACAAGTCTCTAATGCTTCATCAGTGTTAATGACTGTGCAGAGCTTGCAGGGCATGCAAAACACAGTTGCCCAAGGTCCTACTCCATTCAAATCATTATCAGTTCTCTTTCTGGCCCTTTCCTTCCTGCTAGACACAGAATTATACCAAAATCCCAGTACGTAATGTCCCTGAAGCACAGAAAAGTTTTGATGATCAACCTCTTACTTCTATGTGCTGTGATCCTTGAATTACACGCACGTGGACAGAGTTCAGACAGTTGACCCAAATCAAGATTTCGCAAGTTGGAAACACTTGAAATTCAAAAGAAAATTGCAAATTACAAAAACAGCTCAAGTCTTCTGGCATATTGTGGGACAGACATCCATTAGCACAATTTCACATGGAAACTAGGTGGGTGGGTAAAGCGATTGAGTTCAAATGCAAGGGTGGATGATGAGAGGTGAATAGGGAGCTGAGGGTTGAATGTTAGCAGCACCACCCTTGATTTCCTTTTAACCTACTATAGCCAGGCACGTATCCACCAAGCAGTGCAGCATGTAACCACCAACTCCTCCATCTGAGAAAAACAGAAGAGAAAATTTAAATTAATTTTCAGAGCATTCTATTTGCACTTTTTCTTTTCTCATATTTTTAACTTTCAAAGACTGCTTAAGGCAGTAAATTAAATGACAAAGAGGGAATTTAAATAAGTTCTAAGTATGATGTAAATGCCACAGCTTACATGTGCATTGCAATGGTGTTGTTCCTTTCAGTAGCAGAGTAACATAAATTATTTTAATGGCAGTGGTCAGCCTAGTCCTCCAAACATGGACAAATTTAAGTAGGCAACTTAGAAACATGGCAGAGTCATTCAAAGATGCTCAGCAACAGGTGAGCTCCTCAGAAAAGAACTTGGCCGATATTGAGTTGGGTCAAGAGATCCCAAAAGTCTGCACCACCTTGAAAAATTCCTGCACTTCATAGTCACCTGTCAATTTGTGTCTTTGATGAACTTTGGTTAGTAGGGAATTCTGCTGCTTGTGGCAGTGGTCTCCCACTTCCCAGCCTAAGGCTCGATCCCTAGAATGCCATAAGGAATGCAGCACTTGAGCACAAACAAGCAGCAAGCTTCCACAACAGTGGCTGCATTGCAGAGCATGGAACAGCAAATAGGACAGGGCAAAAAATTCCCCTTCAGTCAGAGACAAGACAGTGGTAAAGAAAGAATATTAAATCAACATTAATTTTTTGGGTTTACATACCTCTTGTAGAGATCTAACAACAAAAGTCTCTTACTTCTTCCTAGCCTGACCCAGAAACTATGACAGAAAGAATTGACAGGCTGAGGACATTTGTAGGATGGACAGTTGCATTGCTCTAGAGGTTCTGACATTTTCTCTCTGAACCTTAGTAAAGAAATTCAGTTGTGGAAGTTGCACAGTGCAGAAAGCACAGCATGCCCTGCTGTGAAAGAAATTAGTCTGACAGTCAAGTTGGAAATTACAGTGCCACTCTGAATGAAACTGAAGTTGTTATGCAATATCTATTAGGGCATGTGGCTTCAGGGCATAAAAAGGTTTACCTCTCCTCGACTTTTAGAGACAACTTCAGTTGTCCTTTGTGTATTCATGTCTGCACACAATACCAGAAACTATTAAACACAGGTTTTTATGTTGTGTATAAAAAAATTTATACTTGTTCATTTTTTTAGAAAGGCAGAAAGGCCATTGTGAAAGCAGCTTGAGTGTTACAAATGAAAATGGCAAGTTAAAATCTACAAGCACAATAGCCCATAGCAGGACCTCCAGACAAATTCCTCAAAGGTCACGGAACCTTCTAGTTAAAAAAGTGCCAGCAAGCATCTTATTCCAAGTAACTGTTTGTTTTTAAAATACAATTCTTCTTTACTAGCACAAATAATTCCACTAAGAAACAAGTGACCACTTCCACAAATGTTTTAAGTATACCTGCTTTGTCAGCATTATGTCACCACTTTCAAGTTCAGCAGAGAAACTTTTTGTAATAAAATTATCTCTACCTATTATTATTCAAAACCACCTAAACTACCACATCTGGTACAAAAACCCACCGAACTGAATCTGTTAGTCCAGCAAAAGCTGCAGGTGAAGCTCCCTAACTACCTAAGTTGTAAGTAGAAAGACAATACTCATCTGCTTCTTGAAGTGGTTGCATACAGATTTTTTCCCATCTACATTTCCTCTGGCAGAATAATGTATGGGGCATGACACCCTCATTTGCCTTCTGATTAATATCCCCAAACCCTGAGAACACAATTAAAAGCTCAACAAAATATTGCTATGTTGTCCTTAGCCTTTGGCTTCCAAAGTATTATTACTGATCTAATAAAACACTATTTCATACCCAAATATAAAACTACTGCTGACTGGATCTCTTAGACAATTGACTGAAAAGTCTGGCAGCTTCCCAACTTTTTTTATCTGCTTCATTTCTACAAAAGAACACAATGTTTTTATTTGATTTATGTGAATTTTCTCCTCCCTGTTTAAAAAGCCCAGTTAAGCATGATCAGGAATATTAAATATGTGAGGAATAAAAAAAAAAAAAGCACATCACTTAAATAAAAAGCAGTAGGTTTACATAGGCCATTCTGCATGGAGTCTTTATGTCACAACTGATCTTTTAAGTCCCATTATGCTTTGTAGCTATTTATAGCTGTGTATGTCCATCTTTTGCATCCTATAGTTTGGGGTTTCTTTTCCAGATATAAACGGAGCTTCCTCCCTCCCTTTGTTTATGTGTCTGCCTGTCAGCATAGCGCCAGCGACTGTCTCTGCACTTTGCTGCTGCTGCTCCCTCATCCTGTTTATAGGTCAGCAGCAGCTTCCATCGCCTCCCCGCTGCCGAGCAGAACTTCCCCTAGCACTTCAGGATGTTTTAGTCACTTTAACCTGTGCCGCCAGCCTGGAGCCAAGTGTCTCCTCTTTGAGCTAGTGATGCAGGCAGCATTTGCCTCAATCAAACTCAGTCTTTGTTTCCTGGGAAGCCCAAACCTTTTCAACTGTTCCTTGCATGGAAATGCCACTGGGTCCTATTCATTGTCCCTTGCAAAGATCATAGACAGACACACAGCTGAAGGGTGAAAAATTTCTTGTACCCTTTCAGTTCCAAGCACATGAAGCCTCACACTGGACAGCATCCTTGCCAGCCACTGAACGTGGAGGGAAAAAAAAAGTACCTCTTAACTAGATATCAGTTTTTATTTTTCTAATCTAGTGATGTCAAAAGTCCTTAATACAACAATTCTTTAGGCATTTACTTCAACAGGAGACACAGCAAGAAAAAGAATCCAGCAACATCATGTGATGAACACACACAAGACACCGGAGGAGGAAGCAAATCAGCTGTTGAGCACAGAGCTAGTTGCCCAAATGGAGCCAGAAAGAAAAGTGTCTATATCACCACAGCACTGGGGATATAGACAAGGAAGTCAGAAGAAGATTAATAAATCCAGGACCTCTGATGAACATTAGGACTTTGTGTTTTATGAAATCCATAGGATTAGGAGTATAGCACTTGTATAGATCACCTTTTCCAGTTACAAACACATAGTAGCAGAGAACTATTAATAAATTCAAAATATTTTGGTCGGAAGTTGTTGAAAGACAATAATGTCTGTCTCCACAACCTCCTCCATATTACTGCATTATAATTTAGGGTCCATCTGCATCTGTCAGGCAGGAGTATGCAGACATCTCCTTTGACAGCAAGATCACACAATCAATTTTAAAACACACCCCGATAACAACTTTTGCGGGGGTTATGATGTGCTTCACAATTGTTCATGTGCTACCTTTCTGCACTTTGCTATTTATGAAAACAACCAAAGAACATACACTGTTTAAACTCCTCTTTAGGCTTGAAGATGGAGTGCAACAAATGAAAATAAAAATGAATGAGGGTGACCTGATATGTGCACACATTACAATCTCTGCAGAATTCCCAAAAAACCTAAATGGCAATTACATTCCTAATTTTCACAAGGTTAACATTGATAGTGAGGCTCCTAGCTATCACTTGTGCCTTTTAAAAATTTTCTTCCTGGTCTTTACACCAATGTCAAAAAACATGATGTACAAGAAATTCAACATCTCAAATTAAAAGTATATTTTATGGACAGTTGAGCAAAATTAATATATCACCAAAGCATTGTTGGAATGTAGATTAAGTTAAGCACATGGTACAAATGCATATTCTTAGACAAAAAAGCTTATCTAATAATTTTGTTTCTTTAGATTCCACTCTAAACTTTTAAAAACCTTTTGCTATAATAAAAAGTTGATGATGCAGACATCCAGGCAGCTTCCTCTGCACTCAACAGCCACCGATCTGTGTTGTGTGACAAGATCACAACTTCACATGACCCAGTGTGACTAAGCTTTGCAAATGCTGTTATGAATCCCATGATATACTTTCTCTGTGATAACACCAGCTCCTGGAGTCATACAAACAAGTTTGAATCTGTTTGGGTTTCCTGCTTCATAAAAAAGCATATCTTCATCCCACATTTTGGGAAAATGAAGTTGAAAGATCTGAAATTATTAGAAAACACACAAGACTTTAATATTTAAAACGTATTTTTTTACCTTCAGGTATGCTTAGATTTCACTTCTTGTTGTTCTCCATACCTTTTTTACAATGCAAGAGATTCTAGTTATGTTTATAATTTCCTCATTTTGTGACACCAAAAAAATGTCACTGTACAAAAAAAACTGCCTCACTTCAGTAGTGCTGAAGGAGAGAGGTCCATTTTGATTTGGTTTAATGTCTTATCAGAAGACCAGTGGAAGAGCTAATTACGATACTTTTCATTAGCATAATCACAACATTGTCTTTCTGCTGTAGATCCTTTTGTTTTGTTCGCTCATATTGTTCTCCTCTCCATTTGTGAAAATCTGTATGCATTTCACAAGCAGCTTCTCTCTGAATCTATTATTCAACTGCTCATTGTCCTATTCTCCACTTTCTTTTCAAAGGTTTCAAATACATGCAAAAAGATTTGATGGTCCAAAGAGATGCATATATTTGATATGTTCCAAGATGCTCATCTGTGCATCACATTCTTAGTTTCCTAAACAATAAGGACAACAAACCAGAAAGGATCAGTGTACCTGAGCACGCCCCTGTTATTATCAAGCACCAGCTGAGTAATGTTAAACTTGCCTAATGTCTCTGACGAAAAACATAATAGCAAGCTACAGAAAGGCAGGATGACACTTAACTCATTTTCCATTACTTCCCTGCCAGCTTCTGATGGTGTGCAGTGATACAGCTCACAGTGTGCGGAATGACTCTCCTGCTTGGAGCCACTCTCAGTGCCAAGGCCCACAGATGTTCAGATTTTTCCCCATGTGGCTGGGATATGAGATACAATCTTACCTTCACATCTAGTCCTGAGAGAAACCAGAGGTGAAGTCTACAAAGCAAAAAGGGACCCTCCTTTTTGAAGAACTGGTCATAAGGGGTTAAAGGGGGGAAGGACTGGGGGGAGTCAGACTCAGGCCTAGAGCTGCCTCAGAAATGATGGCCCAGAAATAAAATAATTTCTCACTGATCTTTGCATACCATTTCTGCACCTAATAGAAGAATGCTTGTCTTCCTCTTTGGGAGACTCTTGGTGATTTGGGAGAAAAATATTTAGGAAACTAATATATTTTAAAATATTTCTAGTTAGCTCAGGGCATGCAAGTACAAGAAGCATTTCAGTAACAGATAGCAAAACTGGAGTCCAATAAGTGCTACACACCCAGGAGTTAAAATTTATTGAAATAAGAGTAGTAGACAGTGGGAGAGGAGAGGAGAGGAGAGGAGAGAAGAGAAGACAAGAGAAGAGAAGAGAAGAGAAGAGAAGAAAAGAGAAGAGAAGAGAAGAGAAGAGAAGAAAAGAGAAGAGAAGAGAAGAGAAGAGAAGAAAAGAGAAGAGAAGAGAAGAGAAGAGAAGAAAAGAGAAGAGAAGAGAAGAGAAGAGAAGAAAAGAGAAGAGAAGAGAAGAGAAGAGAAGAAAAGAGAAGAGAAGAGAAGAGAAGAGAAGAAAAGAGAAGAGAAGAGAAGAGAAGAGAAGAAAAGAGAAGAGAAGAGAAGAGAAGAGAAAAGGTTTATTCAACCCCTAAGTACATATTCCATTGGTGTGATCTGGCTCATGGATATGTCCTGCTCTCCAGACATATTCAGCATGTTCCCAGGAGGCAGAGTGGGAGGTGCCTTACCACCTGCTTCTCCAACCCACATAAATTAAGACCAAATCAAGTTCTGTCAAGATTCAAAACTGGTTCTAAGTCACTTTCAATTTTTTTACTGCTTTCAAAATGAGAGTAAAGAAAAGTCACTTGTCAGTGAATACACAGATACATATATTCATGCATATGTACTTGTATATCTGCACACGTGTATACATGTGCATGCACATATGCATGTGCACTTATATCTACATATTACCTTGCATTCTTATATGCCTATCAAAACAATTTCAGACAATACAAACCAGTGCAAGGGAGCCAATTTGAACAGCTGAAAACCTATCAATAAACATAGATAGATTGGCAGGATTTAATACATGGATAAGACATCGTGGGTTAGAGCTACACACAGCTCTTTACAATGGTATTTCTCAATGGACTTTTTCTTTCCCTAAATGCAAATAACTTTATTTACCTTCACAGAACGGTATTTACCCTTGCAGAAATACAGATTAATGTGTTTGCTTATTTGTTATCAGCTCTGCCTTGTGTCCTGGGACAGGACCATTGGCTGCTTTACTCGGCCAAAACCAACAGCTGAAACAGCGCGTTGCTCTAGGAGCAGCTTTTCCCAGCTGAGACGGCAGTGTAAGAGCGCCTTCTATGCTTAGGCAAAAGAAACGCAAGGCACAAAAGCCATGGAAAGCTTGAGTCTGCAGAAGCCCAATGTCTCTCGGGTGCAAGTTGTTCTATTCTTAAATCCAAAGAAAGAAGGGTGGAAGAGCTTTCTCCTTGCTAAAGGAAATGGGTCAGACTCGTCCTCAAGGTAGAAGGATATAGCTGTCATCTTTGGAGTGTGATTACTGCACTTCATACTGCAGCGTAGGTGTAGTTCTCTAAGGAGTCTCAGTTGTATTGCCAATTAAATTTTAAAATAAAATTTTAAAATATTTATCATTTTCTCTGTGGCTTTTAAGGACCTATACGGGCATTAATGTGGTGGCTTCACAGGGCAAAATGCCAAAGAGACATGTGAAGAAGCTCTCATTACAGAGCACTATTTTTTCTCCTGGATCACTTCAGTGATTCAGTTTCCCAGGCAGCTTCACAAACAGCTGTACTTGCACAGCTGTACTTGCACAGCTGTGGTGGAAAGACACAAAAACCAAACACAGAAGCAGACAGAACAGGATGGGAGCTACCTAAACCAACACAATGCTGTTGCATATAAAATTAAGCAGAATTTGGACATCCAATAGCCGCCTTCTAGGTGAGAGTTTAATTCCTATGATGCAAAACCATGTTTTTCTTGGTAGACATTCCTGAGGCTTTGCCAAGCCACAACTTTACTAGACCACCTAGTAAAGTTATGGCTTGGCAAAGCTTAGGGAATATGTTAAGTTGAAGCTGCACAAATATGCCATGTCAATTGCAACCTGCATCCTTAAAGCAGAGTGTCTTGGCAGCTGAACTTACTGTAACTCATATACCAAGGGTGCAGAGTTAATTCCATTGAAATCAACTGCAGAGTAGTCTTGAATTTCCATGCAACAGTTCTACCTTGACTTCAGACTCCCTATAATCCTTCATTTTATTTTTTCTCTACACCTTGATTTTGGTACAAAGACTTAATCCATACATGATCTCCATATGAACAGAAATAATTATAGTCAGAGTGAGTTACTTTTCTACTTTTCTCTGTTCTTTCATCATTCTAGTCCATTCAGTACATCCAGTCCTTACCCATTAGTAAATTATTTTGAGATACAGCTTTCATGGAGCTGAAGGCAGCACCACAGCACCATATCAATACCACTTTTGCAACCCTAACTGCTGTCTGCATACTTTTAGCCAAGGCAAGAGTACAGAGCCCACACTACTGTCCTTACACGCCCTAGAGGAGATTTACTAGCCAAACTATCCTGGAAAACTCTCTTAGTTAGAAATGAGACATATACCAGCAAAGTATTTCCTCTCCCTAGAGTCTACACAAAAGCTTTCCACATCAGTTCCAGGTCTTAGCCAGGCAGTTTCTTTGTTCCATTGTCTGCCTCGTGACACAGGTGTGGTCTACTTTTGCAAGAATATTATTCTTGTTTGGGAGTAGAATAGGTGAGATGACAGACCAGCAAAAGCCATATTTTAAATATCACTGAATATCATCTGAAATGCCCTCTTGCTGATTACAAAATAAAAGATTTAGTGTAACCCCTAAAGGATGTTTTCCTGCCAGTTAGTAATCTCACACACACACACACAAGGATAGGATACAAAACTTAAGGCAAGGTGTCACCACAGGCCCCCAGCTGGGTAATAATTAGCATTGACTCCATGCTTTCTCAGACACACACACAAGGATAGGACATAAAACTCAAGAGTTAAAGCAAGGTGTTGCCACAGGCCCTCAGCTGGGTAATAATTAGCATTGATTCCATGCTTCTCAGAAAACTGATCCACCACTTTATTATACTAATTAAGAAACCCATCGCCCTTACAGACAGCCATGATACAGGTGTACACAATTGGTCCTTCATTCTAAACACCATCACCATTGGCCAATTAAGAAACCACTCTTTGGTAAACAAATCTCCATAACACATTCCACATGCTCACAACAACAGGTGCAGCAAGTGAAGAATTGTTTCTCATTCTTTTCTCTGATCTTTCCCAGGACAATGCCTGGGAAAGTTGTGCATTGCTCTCTGTGATCAGAGAGCTCCAGCCACACAAGGCGTAGACTTTTTAACTTTTCAAATTGCATCTGTATCAAAGGAGAAAAAAGATGTGACTGGCTGAACAGTATAAAATCTAAATCATATAAGGCTTCATGTATTTTGGCTAGTCCAGTCTTCATCTATGACACTGGCTTTTCTATAGTCATTTTCATCTTATTGAAAATTAATAATAGAGGCTTTAAAAAAAAAAAAAAGCACTTTCATTGTAGGCTGTATGCAAGGGATGGTATGTGATCTGTTGTCAACCACAATGAAACAAGAGGCAGGAAAACAGTTCCTATGCAGTCCTGGGCTTTTATTCCCCCCTACATTTATGTGTTTCAAGATTACCACCCTTTAGACAACAGTGCAGTTATTCATCCAGGGATGTGCTGGAGACAAATTGGTTCATGTTTTAAAAGAGTGATGAGAGGTGGCTGTTATGTAAAGTTCGTAATACTCAGCATCCTACCTCTGTTACTTATTTGATCATCACAAAGCAATCCAGTTTCATTTTAAATACAGCATATTAATCATACAAATCTGAAACAAATTGAATATATTTTTTCTTTTCTGTCACTCACCTCTGACTTCATATGCGGGCAAGTAGTGCTGCTTCTCTCTTCCTCTTCATCTATCTTGCTGATTGATGCTGAAAATTCTTTGGAGCCATTTCTGGACTATATTTCATGTATGGATCCCATCATCTGAAAGATGTCCTAAGCTTCCCTGCAAATTCTCTGCACCACTGTGAAATAATAATAATTAAATGTGCTTGAAGAAATTTGGTCTGACAAAGACAAAGGTGGTAACCAGTGATTTAGCAAGCAGTTAGTTGGATTAAAATTACTCTCTCAGATCTCTCACAGAGTTAGTTAAGTATACAGCTTGAGGAGTTTTGTTATTCTTGGAGTATATTACCAGAAATAAATCAAATTTAAAAGCTCTTGTGGAAGACAGGTAGAATTGAGAAGCTGCCACATGATCAAAACAAACAAAAAACCCCAAACAACACAGCATTTTCTCAACGTTTTTGAGGTAAGCATAAAGATGGATAGTTTAAATAATTGCTTCTGTCAGAGAGATCTCAATCTTTAATCTTAAATGATGAGGGAGTTACCCTAAATGCTATGTGCTACAAAGTTTCAGTTACCTAATTACACAGCTGGTGTATTCAGGACTGCACAGGTAAATTTTTCAGCTTGGAACACTGTTCAATAAATCTTAGGAAACTATATTAAAAGAGTAGAGCTGAAAGTTAATATTTCAAAGACTAATGAAGTTTTTGATACCGAGAAGCTTTACTTTGGCCCATGAATACTTACATTAAAAACTTGTCTCAGATTGAGAGAAAATAGCCTAGTTTTCAGAGCACTCACTTGAAACTTTGAAGATCCATAGTGAATTCATTATTCTGCCACTAGGCACCATTTTACCCACTTACTGAGAAAATTTATGCAGGGTAAATCAAGAAAGTCTGCAGTTTTCAGAGACAGAGTTATCTATTTCTAACTATTTCAAGTTGTCTCTAGAGACACGAGTCTGCTCAGTTCTGCATTCTGTGGCTCACTTTTGAAGGGTTAGTTCATTTTTTTGTGCATAACAGATTGAAAACTCGCATCTTCTGGCAGTGAGATGAAAACCTTTCCAACTCTGTACAGAAGCCCTGCAACAATGAGACAAAAGAGTCAAGATTCATTGGGGCAAAAATGACAAAGGAAAAATTTGGAACTGGTATTCTTCCAGGTTCATCTGGGAAGAAGGAAATCCTTGTACCTATGAAGATTTTAAATTTTCTATTGGAAAGTTATTGGATAAACAAGCAGAAATCTGACCACCCACTGATTTAAACCTCCCCCCTACTTTGAAGTCTCTGCCATAGAATCATAAGTACATTTCAAAAATTAAATCGAGGAATTAAAAAATTAAATAGAGGAATTACTCAGTTTAGCATAGCAACACTAAAGAGACCAGTGCCCGAGTCTCTGTGCAAACAATGGTCTATCACATATGGTCCATGCCCTTAAACATTCCCAGGTGCCTAAAACTGCCAGAAGACAGTGTATGTGTGTTTAGTATTTTGGGGATCTATGGTCTCCCAGTAGCAGCACTCCATCAACACAATGCTGTAGGTAGCACCCAACAGAAAGACTGTAGCATGCTTAGTTGTAAACAATCTCAAACATAAATAAGGATTCTGCTTTCCTCTTACTGCTTGGAAAGATCATACAGACTATTTTTCACAGCCTCCAACTAATACTGCTGCAAACATTTTAATGAAACCCATTAAAAATCAGACTTGGATTGCACTGGCACAATTATGGCAAAACTTGCTTCAGGCCCTCTGTGGATTACACAGCAACATATGAAAGCATGGGCACAGCAGCATTAATAACCAAATTCACTTAGACAAAAGCTGTCTTTGTGTCTGTTTGGTGTGCTGTGGAGTGCTTGCTGACATACCTTGCATTCCTACCCTACCTAAGCCCCCGACTTAGATGTACTTTCTGTGCATGGGAAACACATGTGGCTTCACTGAGTGGGAACCTATCTCTTCATTCCCTTTTATCAATCCTTGAGAATGATAAGAAAAGTATATCACAAGGTTTGGGTACAAGTGATGTTATCTTGCACATTTTCTGCAAAAGCTGCCAAGGACAGTAAGGATAAACTAGGTCCTAATATTTTTAGTATAGAAAACCAAATGGAAAAGAGAAAAAGTTCACATGGAAGCTGTAGTTCTGCCATGCAATATGATAGTGAAGTGCCCACACATAGTGCATAAAGCTACACCATAGAAGATGCAACAGACACATGTATGTACATTTATTTTACTGTTTTGACAATTACCTTCAAAAAAACCCTTATGAATTCCACTGTATTACCATGGAAGCATGTCAGAAACCCTTTAACTTTACCTAGATAAGTAACTGCATGATGGGGTTCTTGTTTGTTTGCATTTCTTTGAATCAGTAGCATGGAATGTACCAGAATATCAGACCACAAAACATTCCTGACATTTCTGAAAAAACATGTTTTTATACTGCTGCTGTCAATCTTTCAGGTGACCATTTCTTATCTGTTCACACAAACAGCCCCCAAATATGTACGGAAACCCCACCTTAGTGGTTGCAGGCTTTATGTATGTGCACAACAGCACTGGAGGTAAGTTCCACATACATGTAGAAGTGACCTACAGAACCCCACTGCCATGCTGAAAACTAATTTTATCCTGTACATTTTGATAGGTACTTGAGTATTCTTATTTTTTCCTCTTTGGCTGTAGCACATTTATCTTTATTTGCAGGTATGTGTGTATGTACTGTACACATACAAACATGTATAAAAACAAGTCATGCAAGTCTTGAATAGATTAAATGTCATGGCAATGCACTTAAATGGAATCAAATGCAGAAATTTTCAGGCTCAAGTCAATGTTTAACATCATTAATGTGATTCTTCAGCTATCCTTATAAGTATATGCACCAAGAAACCTAAATTCTGCAATCTTTGTTGAATTTTCCCAAAAAAATTGTAGGAAAGTAAGGTACCTTTACCATGCAAAAACCCCAGAGCTGAGTTCAGGACTGATGTGTTCAAGAAGAGGCATTTCTTAATAGACTTCAGTGCCCACATGTTTCAGCTATCTGCAGAAATATAATTTCTTTTCAGTTTCATTCCTTTCTTCTTACATTGTCATTATGATGAATTGCCTCCAATTCCATAAATCACTGCAGTTCTCAATATATTCATAAAAAGTAACTCACCAAATAGCAAGTTTCAATAATATTTTTCTGTCACAGTTGACACAGTCTTTCTTAGAACTGATCCTACTGACTGTTTTCCCAGTTGAGGCCAGAAATTAGAAGATATAATACTAGTTGGTTGATGGTTTACAAAATATTTTTTTACTCTAGTGAGTACAAACATACAGAATAAACAATAGCTTCCTAAAACTTGAAAAATCCTCATGAACTGTGAATTCTTAAAAAAAATATGTGTAGAGAGAATTGGCTCTACCAGTCCATTAGTGTAATCAATGTAAAATAAGATAGCAAAAATTCACACTTGGAACCAAGAGCAGCATAGGTCCCCAGGACTCCACTAGCCATCCCTATTCAAATTAGTATCTCAGGTGATATGAAATAAGGAGCTAAGACTTCTCAAAATACATGACTAGATATGGTTGTTCCTCTTCTACTACTGCCAGCTAGTGAGAAAATTCCACATAGTCTAGTCACATAATTTAAGGCCTGAAGAGACTACTCGGTTATTTGCTGTTCCCTCTAGTACATCGCATGTCATTAAGTTTCATCCAATTGTCCCTGTGCTAAACTCATGAACCTGCCAAAAAAAAAGGCATTGGATTTTGATTTGAAGAATTTAAAGTGCAGCAAATCCACTTCCTAGCTTGTCCTGAAGGTTTATGTACTTCACTAATGAGTTGCTCCCCCTTGAAATTTCTGCAGGATCAGCTGCCTTCCTCCTCTGTGCCTTTTTATAGCTAGCATGTGCTTCCTAGGAAGACAGATTTCAATCAAACCACCTCCCAGAAATGTCTATATCCACCTGCAGAGAATATTCTTCAGCCTTCAGGATCACTTGCATGTATCTGTTCTGCTGTCTTCAGTTTCTCATCCTCCTGTTTCCCAAACAGCCTCTGTGTTGACTGCCAAAGTGAGCAGCACTGTCACAGAGGGAGAAGCTGTCTCCCTGGTCCTGTGTTTTGAACAGCCCAGCACAGCTTTAGCTGGCACTGTCTGCAGAGGGCTGTTGCTGAAATCTCTGCACAGACACCTCTCCAGGTCCAAAGTCCATGTTCTGCAGTCGTGTCCATCCTTCTTTGGTCCTGCATTGCACTGTCATTGGAAAATCACTGAACAGCCTTGCTTATCACATTGTTGCTATCCCTCAATTTAACAGTCTGATGATTCCTGTATTATCTCCACATTTTCTCAGTAATTAACTTAAATTGTTGCTAAAAATAAGCACTAGTTTCAGTCTTATGACTGTCTTGACAATATCTCGCTTAATCTATGAGGGCTCCTCAGCTGCAAAGAGTTGAGAAAAAAGAAGGACTTTTCTTTTATCTTGATTTTGACCTATAACACTACTTCTACTCAAAGCAGTACTAATATATAAATCAGAACACAACAGTGCTGACAGAGCATCTCAACAGCCACTGATCACACTGATGTACATCAATCATCTCTTTAGCCAGCTTTTCCATGTTATATTAGTACAAGTTAACTATGCCTACTGGCTTTGAAAGATTTGCCATAGATATTTGCCATCATCCTTCTCAGATAGTAAAGGTCTGTAAGAGTCTCCACCAGGTAAAAATTAATTATTCTTTTTTACAGGTACACAGAGCTATATTTTCAAAATTTATTTTTAATGCTTTATTTTCATTAAACTCATTTTTTCTCTTTTTTCTTTTGTTTCCCTAATATTTTTTTTTGTTTTTACATAACCTGCCATTTATTTGATGACTATATAATTCTGTAGAAATTTTTTGTGTGCATGTATGTGTACATATATATGCACATATAAATTTTTTTTCCACTTCATCTTTGAGTAATGGAGTCTTTTCTTTCTGACTATTTGGTACACCACTACTTCACAGAGTTAGCAAGCTGTATAATTGCACCAAGAACACAGAAAGTAGTAGTGTCTTAAACAAGGGACATGTTTTCACTGACATAGACTTAGCAAAGCCTTACCTCTGTTACAAAATCAAGAATCTCAATGACTGCATGAATTTTCAGTTTTCTCATTCAGAATATGACATACACAGTTCCCTGGGACTGCAATATGCTGGCCCACCCTGAACTACAAAAGACAGCAAGAGAGGAGGCTAAAGACATTCCTTTTTCTTCTTGCCCTTCTAATGCCCTGTCCTTGCAGCCAGGCACCTCCAAAGACAAAGCAATGCTAGTCAAGGCTGAAGAAAGTGTTTTCACACAGGAAGAGACCTCAAAAGGGGGGAAAAAAACCCCACCACAACACCTTTAAGATCTATAAGATCTATAAATTTTGAAACTGAGGTGAAAAATATCATTAACTGCTCAGAAGTCATTTCACAGGCAGCAGAATAAAGCCTTTGCTTATGTACTGAAGGAAATCCAAAACCCAAGTTGAAGCAACCCATTCCCTGGCCAGTACAAAGTTTGTACACATAAGTCACTTTCTTCCTTGTGCAGATAATGTGTCCAATAAAGCAAGGTTTTAAGTATTGCTGTCTGTCAGGGGAGAATGAATCTATTCAGTGAAGAAGCATGGAATATTTCACAAATTTCAACTCAGAAAAAAAATAAAGGCATGGGGAGACAATTGTAAGGATATATTGTAAACATTGGAAACTATTATCAGGTGAATTATCAGCTTATCAGTGTCTCATACTCATTTATCTGTACAAAACAGAAGCTACTAATACAAGTCATGAATATCTCACCCACTCTTCAGCTTCCTCTGCCAAACCTCACCATTCACCTCAAATGTTTGTGAAGTTTTTACTCAGAAACAAATCCAGTTATAACAATAATTTTTAAGCTTTTGGAAGAAAGCAGCAGATTAATCATGAAAGAAATGTCTTTATTCTGTTTGGTGTTTGGCCCTGCCTTCATTATCAGGAAATGGAGTCTTTAAAAAGGATGATTAATATGTTCCCAGCCCTCCCTCGTACTTTCCCACCAGGATGAAAAGCTCCATATCCCAAACATAAAGATTTGACATTTAAGAGAGCAAGAGAAAAGTTAATAGCAAGGCCAGGTGCAACAGTGCTTCTTGTCTACTTTTCTTTTCATTGTTCATAAATAAACTAGTACAGTGGTCCAAGGAGGAGCCCTTCCAGCAGAACTATCACAAGATTCATCTGAAAACAGACTTTTTTGGCTCTTTTTTTTACCTTCTCTACTAAAGGACTTGTCTATTTTCATACTTTGATTTTTCAGTGCCTGAGAAACAGTCAAAATCACTCCTGTATAGCAAATGAAGGTGTGTTAGAAGTACAGGAAGACATCATTCCAGTAGCTCCAACCCCTCATTCACTGTGAACAGTAGCTGTTAAGATATGACAACAGGAATTTTGGAGTTGTACAGTGTGCCAGAGATCCAACAGATCAAGTCACTTTTTATCCATCCAGTAATTTTCAACACTACCCACAGTTGCTAAATTAAAGCTGAGCGGGTCAGCTAGCCTTGTTACAATCTGTGCTTTTATTCAGCTTTCTAAAAATGCCTAATCTGACCAGAGCCTTGTGTAAACTCACTATCTAAAAAGCTAAGTCTTGTTTTAAAAGGACTGCCTGTTCCCCCAGCAACCCTGTGTTTTATTTAACATGAATTATGAATCATGCAATGCCCCTGTGTCACCATTTTGCACCAGTCATTCTCAAGGATTTACAGGGAGTGGGCACAGATGATGTGGCTGGATGAAGTAACATGGATTTGCAATTATCCCCTGGTATACACTTTCAGTCACTGGCATTAGGAAATGAGAGTTCATTGCACAGAGCTAAGCTGCTTTGGGAAAATACTCAGGAAGCATGTGGAAGAGATATTAAAAAAAGCATTTCAGCTACCCCTCACTGGTGCCAGATGCTGAGTAGCCAGCAAAAGCAAATTATTTTTAGGTTGCTGCTCATCATCTGTCCTCGGGTCAAGAGTTTATGCCCTTCAGGGAGGGGAGGCAGGGCACACTGGGAGGCAGCAGGGTGATGCTTCTGCTGTAGATTGAGCTTCCTTCTCTTTCCTTTTGAGTACATGATAATCTTTAATGGGAGTACTCTAGATGGGAGAAGAGTCTGTGGATAGAAGCAAAGAAGTCAGAGACTTGTGAAAAGACAATTCACTCATTTCTCACGCTGATTTATACTCTGTGTATCCAGAATTTTTCTGCCATATTCTTAAACCATGTACTGTATTAGATTTCAGGGCCCATTTAACCAAAACATGTTCTTCTGTATGGATAGATCCAACACAGCTCTCGTTAATTTGCCACTAGATCCTGCTGTAATGCTAATAAAAACCAAGATATTTTTCCAAGATCAAGTGAGTCCCCCTCAAATACTGTAAAACCCATGAAGAGAAACTTTTCTGGAGAGACAAGAGACTGTATGAGAAGCTCCAGTGAAAGGAACCACTCAAAATCCTGTAAGCTCTCATATTGAACTAATATTGATATAACATTTTAATTATATGCTAGCAAATGTGCTTCATATATTAAACACATACCTTTACACTTTCAGCAGGCCTGTTCTCACTCATATTTGGTGTGCAAATGTTATTATTTGTAAAAGTGCTTGCTCCTATGCATAGCTTCACATTACACAAAGAAGAGAGGTATGCAAAGGTCCTAGGGTGAGAAGGAGAACCAGAACATTTCGTTCTCAGTCACTGACTCAGCTTAAGGTCAGTAGCAATCAAAGTTGTTTCCAGATGAGTGGAGTTCAATGGTTCACATGAAATAAATCATCACTCTAGGCAGTCAGATCCACACAGCCAATCACTGGTGTTCCCACAAAGCAACATGAAGAAAAGAGAATCCAGAAGCTTGTTCCTGAGCATACGTCCTGCAAAATCCCTTGCTGCTAGCTCCTATCCTGAGTAGCACTAGCATAATGGGGAAGAGGAACCATGTATCCACCAAATTTCTTGAGCCTATTAAATGAATCAAGAGATTTCCTTTTGCCAGCATGTGAGATGGTCCTTGTCAAGGGAAGAAAACCTTCAAATAAATGAAGCCTTTATTTTGAAGAAATAGGAACTTGCTTCTGTACACCTCAGGAAGTAATTGGCATCAACACAAAACGAGTAAAAAATACCACCAAAGTTGGTAGTGTCACAACTTTGAAACAAGGCAGGAAGTGAAAAATGCCCCACCACTATCAGCCAGTCCCTATATGCTGATCACTTTTGTCTTGGCCAGCTTTAGGGGAAGCTCTTCTTCAATC